TAGGCCTCAAACCTAGTATTTTCCCTTCCTCATTAAGAACCCTTCCACACCCAGACCTCTTTGACTACAGGCCCCTTTCCACAGCCAAGTCCACTACACCACCCAGGCCCCTCATCCAGCCAGCCCGTTCTCCAGCCTGAGACTCTGCGGACAGTCTCCCTAACCAGGTCACTCTCCCAAGCCCAGGCCTTTTTTCCAACCCTGTCTCCTCCTCCTCACTGGACCCCTTTCCCAAGAAAATGCTCCCTCCCCTCAGCCAGTTGCCCTTCCCTAGCCTTTTCCCCTTTAGGATGACTTATTTCTCCTTTCATAGTCTATGCCTCATTCTTCAGTCAGGCATCCTCCTCTCTCAGTACCCTCCCTAGCCAGGGGACATTGTCCTGCCAGGACCTGTTCACCCACATGTGTCCCCATTAGAAACCAAGTCCCTTTTCCAGCTAGGAACTCTTTCCCAGGCAGAGCTCTCCCCATGTCAGGCTCTCTTCATCTACCCATGCCCTCTTCCCCAGTTTACACTAATTTACACTCAGGTCTCCTTCCCCAGCCATGCCCCAGTCCCTATCCTGTGTCCCCTCCTCAACTAGGCTCCCTTCTTCAACCACTTGTCCACATTCCAGTCCATTAGTTTGCCTATTCTCCTATTCCTAGCCTATGTCATTCTCAGCATACCTCTTCTGGCCACCACTAGATTCCTTTTCCTAGCTTGGGTCCCCCTCCCTAGCCAAATCCTCATCCCTCTGTAAGCCCCATTCTACCACCAGGGTCCTTCCCCAGTCAGGCAACCTTCCTTTATGTCTCTGTCTCCAGCTAGTCCCCCTTCTTCATCTTGTGCCAATGTCCCAAGCCTGTGCTTCCTATACAAGACAGGTACACTTCCACATCCAGCTCCCTTTCCCAGCCTCACCCTCTTCACCAGCCTATGCCTATATTCCCATCCAGATCCTCTTCTTTGGAGTGTCCTTCTCCAGCCTATGCTCCATGTGACAGCCTATGTCCCTTCCCTTAGCAAAGTGCTCTTCCCTAAGCTTTTTCCCCTTTAACAGCCGAGGGCATCTTTCTCATTCTTTGTCCCCTGATCGAACCAGGCCTCTTTCCCTTGACCAGCCCACTTCCCTTCTCTAACCAGTCCCTCTCTGCTGGTATACACTTCTTTCCCCATTCTGTGTCCCAGATCATAGCTAGATTCCCTTGTGCAGCCATGCCCCTTCTTCTGCCTATGCCTGCCTACCCAGCTAAGCCTCCTTCTCTAGCCTGTTCCCTCTTCCCTAGGATATTCCTCCTTGCCTTGTCAGGGCCACTCCCCAGATGAGCATGTTTTTCCTGCCAGTGCCTTAGTCCATCGAAGCCCCCATCTAAGCCAAGCCACTTTTCCCAGCCAGTGTCCCCACTCACAGAAGGCCCCACCCTTAAATAAACTCCTATGCCCAGCCAGATTCCCTTTTCCTTCCACGACCACTTCCCTGCTATGTGGCTCCTTCCTCAGGCAGATTTCCTTTTCCAGACTGGGCCCCCTACTCAGCTAGGCTCCATTCCCCACACAGTACAGCCCACCCCAGTAGAACACCCATCACATTCTTCGAGCACTTCCCAAGCTTTTGCCCATGTTCCTAATCAGGCCCCCTTCACTGGCCTGTGCCTCGGACTCCATGCAGGTCCCCTCCTCTGGCCAGCTCTCTTTACCACCTGTGGTGTTCCCGAGCCAGGTCCCCTTCCTCACCCTGTGCTCCTAAACTATGCCCCTTTCCCCTATCTGTTCCCCTTTTCCCTGCCAGGCCCCTTCATCCTCTTAGGCTGCCCTTCCCCAAGTTGCACCCTCCTTCCCAGTCATGCCCCCTTCTGCAGATTATGCCTCTTCTCCTGTCTTAGCCCCATTCTCCTGCCTATGTCCCCTCCTGAAACCTGTTCTCACTTCCTCCCCAACCCCTACATCATCCCCTAGTGTTTCCATCCTTATTAAAGATTCTCTTCTCACTACACATTCAAATACCCGTTGTTCTCAAGTCCCTCCTCATCTCAGCAAGCTGATTGGCTGAAACTTATGTGGTACATATACTCACAATATAATGTATGGTGAGATCTCCATATTTTTACTTTGTGAATACCCCAAAAGAAAACACAGTGGCCTTTCTTCCCCTGCTGCAATGTAGCCCTAAATTGTCAAGTTATTTGGGAGTGGGAGTACATTTTGTATGTAGTAATGAGAACATCCTTAAATGAAACTATAACGTTCCTCCTTAAATTCTCCCCAAATCCTCCACTCCAAGCTGCCACCAAGATTACATGTCCATCCTCCTCCCAACACCCCCCCACCCCACCCCCTACCTCCACTCCCACCACCTAACACTCCAGGATTCCTTTGCCTAAGTAGAGAAGTACATCCTGGGATACACAGAAATTCTATATGAACTAAGTCAGCTACACAAAAATAAAGAACCAGATATTTTAAAACTGCTTTTTATTTTTAAATGAATTGCATATTTTTTTGAGGTTACATATTTTATTTTAGGGAGGTATTTGGAATGTACAAAGAATTTTTAAGATGAACTTAAGTAACCTCACTGACAAACAGGATCTGAAGATTAAAATTTTAAAAATGGTTTACCGGAAATCATTTCACCTTTACTATTCTTAAATTCAAAATAACAAGTCTCAAATATCAACAAAAGTGTATTTTTCCCTTTTTTTGCCCCATACCAGTTGTAGATATAACAAAATGGATCAACTACTTGAATGCTTTTTAATACTCACTTTGCTCTTTTTAAATACTTTTCTATCTCTAACAAGTAAGAAAAAGGATTATGTTCAGATTGTTCACACTTCATACTAGATACAGATACACCAAAGTGGATTAATTGCTTCAGGACATATTCCTTCCTGTGTTTAATGAAGAAAATGAAGTTCTGATCTTTCACACCTTATTATAAACTTTACCTACATTTGCTTTTTATATCTTGTACTTGTATTTAACTTCTACATTTAACACATGGAACTAGGTAAGTTTTATTTTATTAAAAACAAAACAAAGTACTAGTTAAACTTTTGTTCACAACTTGAGACATCTCCTGAGTAGCCCAGCTTATGTAATGTAAAAATAAATAAAAGCAAACAAAAAAGCACCTATAGTACATTTTTCCCCCAAAGAATGAAGTAAAAGGCATCTGCAAAGCATTTTAGTCGCCATCAATTCCAACTTTGTCTAAGTAATCTGTTATATTCATGGGACAATCATAAGACACAAAGCTGGTATTTCCCCACTTTATAAATGCATCAAACCCAAAGCTCCAAATTTTTTTTCCCCAAAGGTGTCTGCAATATGATTAATTCCTATCAGTGAGGGAGGCAAAGACCCTTAAGGGCAAAAAGCAGTTAGAACTTGTCAGATTTTTTCCTCATTATTCGTCTCCCACCCCATCAAGCGGTCAAAGCAATTAAGGAACAGGGGAAGCAGATAGAATGACAAACTAGGAAAGTAGGGACCTTTTGAATAAAACGAAGAAGGAAGAAAAGAAAAGACAGAAAACCGAACCTACTAAGGAGATGCAGCGGGTGGCAGCTTCACTCCCTTGGTAGCGTGGATCTCGGTAGCGTTGGGCCTAGAAAAGGCGCGGGGCCGCACCACTGACGGCGTTCACTTCAAGTGGCTTCACTGAGTTGTAGTGCTCCCCGAGGTTGCAGGTGTGGCGCATGTGGACGAGGATGAGTGGCTTCCTGGTGTACTCCTCCCCGATGACGACGATTGGAGAGTCTGCCTGGATCACCTCTATGGGGGTCTGCAGGACATGCGAAAGGGCCCTCAAGCTGGCCTCCCCATGACGCACTACGCACATTGTCGTTGCAGTAGCTCAAGAATTCATCACGGCTGTAGGCGTCGCCGGTTTCCGGGTCACTGAAGAAGGGCAGAAAGTCGTCGACGTGGTTCCGCATGAAGTCAGCCGTGCGACTCCGCAGGCTCTGCACGGTCACGGAGAACACCAGCTGGTCTTTGATGTTGCGGTACATGCAGTGGTTGTCGGCAGGGATATCCTTCATCTCCAGATTCTTGGCCCCTAAGATGACCGAGAGATTCTCCTCCTCTTTGAGGCGGAAGGCAGCGAGATGTTCCATCTCGGCCTCCATGATCCTCTCCTGGTGTTCTCTCTCCAATGCTGCTCTTCTTTCGCGCCTTCTCTGTGCTCTGGAGAGACCAGGAGGTTGGTTCTCAAGATCCATCTTGGCAAGATCTTCAGTGACAGTCTCAAGTTTGCTGTCAGGGAAGCTCTCCCTGAACTTCTCCAACTCATGGAAGTGCTTCTAGTCCATCACGGCCTCGAGGCGGGCCACATCTAGGAGCAACTGCTTTCTTTTAATCTTGTCACTCCCTGGGACCGAGTTCTTCATGGCCTGGATGCAGGCTTGTAGCTCTTTCTTCTCACGGTGGTGGCACCGTACCATCCACTGGTGCTCACTCTGCGGATCATCCATACATATAGTGGCAGGCAGGAACCTAAGTGTGGTGACTACAGCTCAAACTAACAGCTCAAGCCGTGGAGCAGGTTCCAGTTCCTCAGCTTACCCTAGTTTACGCACTCTGTTCACCTCATGGGGTGGTTGCCCTCACCCTATTCATGGGCCTCTCTGCCATTGGCTCCTGTATCCCCATGGCTACGCCCTTCAAACACACGTGGCACTAGGATTGATTGTTGGGGACCCTGAAAACATCCTCATTAGACCCCGTAGCAACGGTACTTCCGCTGTTAGCAGGAATTCAAATCTCACCTGTAAGACCCCGCATTTTACTATTCTACCAGCTAAATATGCCCAGAAACTGGATTTGGCATTATTCCTAGTGTTCAGAGGGCAATGTGGCTTTCTCCAGCTTTTCAGGTCCTTTGCAGGATGAACCCTTGATCTTTGTATATCAAAACAAAGGCATTTTCTTATGTTCCTGGGAACACAGAGCCCTTCAGTTTAGGTCTCATATCCACCATATCCCATCTCAGTCTAAGAAGGCAACAGCCACCCTTCACAAATATGCAGACTTCTTGGTTTGTGCTAACAAAATGCATCTGTCCTAAACTCACTCCTGTGCCCTAGCTCCCAAAATGTACTCCTTGGATGCCCCATGAAGCACCACAGCCAGTGTTTATCATGCCACTTCTTTCTGATTTCTTTGAGTCTATAAAAGTTCTTTAAAAAAAAAAGGCCCCAAATTCCTTCAAATGTACTCTCATCCTGCCCACACCTCCTGAATCTTCAATCCAAAAATAGAGCAGCTGTCTAGACCTTTTCTTCCACATTACAAGTGAGGAAAATTGGACATTTGTTGGAGTGTGTCAAATTATCATTCCTCTTTATTGCTAAGTAGTATTCCATGGTATGGCCATTCACCAGTTAAAGAACATCTGGATTGTTTCCAGTTTGGGGCTATCAGGAATAAACTTGGTATAAACATTGTTATGCAAGTTTCTGTGTGAACATGTGTTCATTTCTCTGGGATAAATGCTCAGGAAGGCAAGTATATTATAAAGGCATGTTTAATTTTTCTCTTCTTTCTTTCTTTTTCTTAAGAAAATGACAAACTATTTCCCAGAGGGGCTGTATCACTGTACATTTCCACCAGTAGTGTCCTCACCAGCATTTGATGTTGTCACTAATTTTTCTTTCAGTCATTCACATAGGTGTATAGTGATATCTCAATGCAGTCTCAATTTGTATTCCCCGATGGCTAATGATGTTCAACATCTTTTCATGTGATTATTTTCTATCTGCATATTCTCTTCTGTCAAATGTTTATGTCTTTTGCTCAATTTCTAATTGGACTGTTTTTTACTGTTAAGTTTTGAGATATTCTAGATAGAAGTCCTTTACAAATATTTTCTCTTACACTGTAACTTGCCTTTTCATCTCTTCATATGATGTCTCACAAAGCAAAATTATTTAATTTTGATGAAGTCCAATTTATTGAGTTTTCCTTCTGTGGATCATGCTTTTGGTATCAAGTCTAAGAACACTTTTTTTAAAATCTAAACTTAGCTCCCAAAAGTTTTGTCATTTTTTTTTTAATTACAAAAAATATAGCATTAGGTTTTACATTTAACTCTGTCATCTATTATGAGGTTTTTTTTAAAATAAAGTTTGAGACTTAGGTTGAGGTTCTTTTTTTTTTTTTTTTTTGCATATGGATATCCATAAACTTGGTGGCTTAAATCAAGGAGTCAGCAGGGTTGGGTCTTTCTGGAGGCTCTAAGGGAGAAACCATTCCATGTGTCCCTCCTAGCTTCTGTTGGTTGCCATCAATCTGTGGCATTCCTTGGCTTGCAGCTGTGTTACTCCAATCTCTAACACCGTTGTCACATGACATTCTTCCTGTTTGTCCTTCATCTTATAAAGATACTAGTCATTGGATTAGGGCACACCAGTCATTAGATTGAAAGAGCCTTGGTGGTGCAGTGGTTAAGCTTTTGGCTGCTAACTGAAAGGTCAGCAGTTCAAATCCACCAGCTGCTACACAGAAGAAAGATGTGGCATTGTGTTTCAAAGGTTACAACATTGGAAACCCTACAAGGAAGTTCTGCTCTGTCCTGTAGAGTCACTATGAGTCAAAAATGACTCTACAACAACAGGTTTGGTCATTGGATTAAGGCCCATCTACCAAGACCTTATTTCCAAATAAAGTCACATCCCCAGGTACTGGAGATTTGTACTTCAATATATCTTTTTTGAGGACACAGTTCAACCCACAGCAAGATAGGAGCTTAGATGATTGATTTCAGGCTTTTTCTCTCAGCAATAATTTAGCTGTTCCCACAAATTTAATATGTTGTATTTTCATTCTCATTCAACTCAATGTAGTTTTCTTTTTAAATTTTATTTCCCTCGTGACTTCCTCTTTGGTGTGAGGATTATTATTATTATTATTATTATTATTATTATTAGTTACCTTTGAGTCAACTTTGACTCATGGAGACCCTGTGTGTTACAGAGAGTACAAATGCTCTATAGGGTTTTCTTGGCTATAATCTTACTTTGGAGACTTCTGTATCTGGGTTGGTTTCTGGGTGATATTGTCATGTGTGCTAATCATCACTTGCTGTCTGCTGTTGTTGGTTTGCTGTTGGAAGAACTCCATTAGCATCCCTTGTAAGGTTGGTCTGATTTTAACAAATTCCCTTCATTTCTCTCTATTTGGAAATGTCCTAATTCCACCATCATATTTGACAGACAATTTTCCTGTGTATATAATTCTGGGTTGGCACTTTTTTTCTTTCAGGGTTTTATATATGTTATCCCATTGCCTTCTCACCTGTACAGTTTCTGTCAAGAGCTTAGTCTTGCTAGTTGCCCTTTGTAGGTACCATTTCTTTCTTTCTTTCTTTTTTTTTTCCTGTTCTACTTCTAGGATTTTTTCTTTGTCTTTGGATTTGGCAAGTTTGATTATGACATGTCCTGGTGATTTTCTTTTGGGGTCTATCCTGTTTGGGGTCTGTTGAACTTCTTGAATGAATATCTTCTCATCTTTCATGAAATTAGGGAAGTTCACTTCCAACAAATCATTGACAATTTTCTCTGTGGTTTTATTTGTCTTTTCCTGTTCTGGAATTCCAATCACAAGTAAGTTATTCCTCTTGATGATGTCCCACATTGATCTTAGGTTTTCTTCATTTTGTTTTGTTCTTTTTTCTGATTGATTCCTTAACAAAGTAGAATTGAGGTATTTGTCTTCAATGTCACTAATTCTGTCTTCCATTCATTTGATTCTACACTCCTTTGCCCTTTTAATGTGTTATATATTTCTGAAATCTTAATAATCATTTTCTGGATTTTTATTTTCTGTTTTTATATGGTTTCAAATTTTTCACTTATTTGTCAATTTGTTCTTTTGTTTCCCTAAATCATTTTAGAGTTTTACCTGTGCTTTCCTTAATTTTCTTAGCGGTTTTCTTGATTTTGCCAAGGTTTTCCTTGATGTGTCTCTCAGTCTGTTGAAGGTACCTCATTATACTTCTTTTGAATTCCTTATCAAGTAGTTTCAATGCCACTTCTTCCTCAGGGAGGCTTTATGGCTCTATATCCACATCCTTTGTTGGATTACTTTTTTTTTTAATTGAAGCTTGGTGGTGTAATTGTTAAAGGACTTGTCTGCTAACCAAAAGGCTTTGTGAAAGAAAAGTCCTGGAAACTGCTTTTATAAAGTTTACAGCTTTGTAAACCCTATGGGGGCAGTTCTACACTATCCTAAAGGGTTGCTGTGAATCAGAATCCACTCAACAGCAGTGGGTTTTTTGTTTGTTGGGTGTTTTTTGTTTGTTTTGTTTTTTAAATACTTATGGAATTGACTCCACGACATCTTTTTTGGAAGCAGGTCTTTATCTCTCAGAGGTTGGACTACATTTTCTTGCTTCTTTGTGTGAACTGGGATGATCGGTTGTTTTGGAGACATTGAGAGGTTGTTGTATTTCTGTTTAATTGATGATTGCACACTGGTGTGATGTGATTCACCTTTTTTTGTGCTTTATTTTCTTCAGAGTGGGTAGTGGTGTTGTGCTACTATATTTGCTAGTATGGCAGCACTTAGGTACTCTTCATTTGTCTTCCAGTGAGTATGATAGAGGATGAGAATGTGTGCACAGATCTCTGTTAGTAGTGTAGAGTGGTTGAGGGTGAGTTGGGCTGGTATTGGCCATGCTTTTTCATTGATCAATTGGTGTAGAAACAATCGGTGGTCCTTGCCCAGTGGGTGGGACTGCTGGAGGTGTGTTTGGGTCCTATGGACATGGTTGGTGTCTCTCACTCAGTTGGACAAAAAAAAAAACATCAAAAAGCAAAAACAAGAGAATAAAAACCACAAACCTGATAATCAAACAGCAACAACTGTAAATAAAAGAAAAAGCAGTAAATGAAAAGGAAAAAAAGGGTAAGAAAAAGACAAAAAAAAGGGAAAGAAAAAAATAAGACAATACCAAAAGAAGGTGGAATAAGAGAAGAGAGCAAGAGAAAAAGAATAATTAAAAAAAAAGAGAGAAATATGCAAAAAGAAAAACAAGGGATAGGAAGGAAAAGATGAGAGAGAATAAAAGAAAGAAAAAATTAAGAAGCTGGGAAAAGGGGGGAGGGGAAAAGCAAAAACCAGGGAAGGGAAAAAGAAAAAAAAAAAAAAGAAAGAAAGAAAGGAAGTAGAAAAAAATCATAATTTTAAAAAGAAACAAACAAACAACAACTAAACTGGAAGGCAGCGCACCAGGGCTGTTGTTTCTGCTGGCCAAGCAGGCAATGATAAACAGGGCACCTAGTCCTGGCACTATTTCTGCCTACCCAGAAGGGAACTCAGGGCAAGGCACCTGATCTCAGACAAATTCTTGTCGACCCAGAAGATGTCTGGAGGCAGGGAACCTGGACCTGTAAAAAGTCCCTGCTAGTCCAAACAGCGGGGAGCAAGGCACCTTGTCCCAGAAGGAATACCTGCCTGCTTAAAATGCAGCTGG